AGCACTGGGCCCAGCACTGACCCCTGGGGGACACCACTGGCCACAGGCCTCCAACTGGACTCGGCCCCATTTATCACCACCCTCTGAGCTCTGCCATCCAGCCAGCCCTCGATCCACCGCACCGTGCACTCATCTAGTCCACTCTCCCGGAGCTTCTGTATGAGGATAGTGTGGGAGACGGTGTCAAAAGCCTTGCTGAAGTCAAGGTAGACAACATCCACGGCTCTCCCCTAGTCCAGCCAGCCTGTCATCCCATCATAGAAGGCTATGAGGTTCGTCACACATGACTTCCCCTTCGTGAATCCATGCTGACTGCACCTCAACACCTTCTTCTCCTTCATATGCCTGGAGATTCTCTCTAGGATGAACCGCTCCATCACCTTTCCAGGGACAGAGGTGAGGCTAACCAGCCTGTAATTGCCCGACTCCTCCCTCTTGCCCTTTTTGAAGACTGGAGTGATGTTGGCTCTCTTCCAGTCCTCGGGCACCTCCCCTGCTCTCCAGGACCTCTCAAAGATGATGGAGAGAGGCTGAGCAATAACCTCGGCCAGTTCCCTCAGCACTCTTGGGTGCATCCCATCTGGGCCCATAGATTTTTGAGTGGCCAGTTTGCCTAAGTGATCCCTAACCCAATCCTTCTCAATCTGTGGAAGGTCTTCCTCTAGCCCATTTATATCTCTTCCACTTGAGCCCTGCAGATTGTGGGGAGTCGCCTTAGCAGTAAAGACAGAGGCAAAGAAGGCATTTATAGGCAAATTTATAGGAAAATATATAAGTTTAACACTTCAGATGAAAATTAGGTGATTACTTCCTAGTCAGTTTGTCCTGAAAAGTCTTTTGGTAGTAGACTCTGAAAGTTCAAGAGGTTTTTAAAGGATTCTTCTTACATGCCCTAGTGCTATAACTAGTATTTGGGGAAATGGGATTTTGCCTCTTTCCTATTCTCCCTTCACTTCAATCTACTATTGAGAAAGGCTCAGAGAAGCCCTTTGATTTTTTTGTTCCCCATCTGATCATTATGTTTCCGTCCCAATTCTTCTCTTACCTTTCTCCCAATCTGTAACTGCATAACCTGAGCTACAGAACTCTTTGATCCACCACCTTGGGAACAAATTTGCTTTCTCTTATTTTATGAGATTTGATTTCTTTTCCATCTATTAAATTTCCTCTTTAGGTATGTGTCTATTATTTTCTAAAAATCAGGGGTAACATCTAGTTTGTGTTTCTCAAAAATCTCTTTTTTGAGATTGTTTCTGTACTTTATTAATCATACTTGTAACGATTACTGCACACATCTTTCATAGCACAGTATTTAGCTGTCCTTTGACTTTTCAGGCACCATTTGTGCTACAGGCTTGATAGCTAGGTCTCTCCTGACCTGCCCAGGCATCACTCTTTTACCTTGTTTGCTTTGGAAACTCCTGCTTTACCAGTCTTGCTATGTGTTCATGAAGTACACAGCACTGCCATGTCAGTTTTTTTCTGATACAAAAGATCCCTCATTCTARAATTTGGTTTTCTTCTTGATGAAGGCAAGGGAAGTGGAAAAGAGTATGCATTCATCCTTACATTTCAATTAGGAAGGCTTAAGTACTTTAGACATGACACAGAAAATCAGAAGTGGTAGGGTGAAAAATAAGTCAGGTAAAGAAAAGGTGGCTGAAGACAGTGCATCAGTTTCTCTTTCAGCAATACAGAAAGAGATTCAATCTTAYTCAGATAAATAGGAGACAAAACAATGCAAATCCCACAGCTGTTGAACTAAGATTACCTTTCTTTATAAAAAGTAGAAAAGATTTTATTTTACACTATTTGCATTAATATTATCATACAAAGAGTGACACCGCTAAACTAGACATAAAAATATTGTTAATTAGCTTTTTCCTAGGGTTGCAGCAATGATTATCATAATCTTTTCAATAAGGAAAAACACTTAGAATATACTGAAAAGGGAATTTTCATAGTATTGGAAAATTAGATTTAGACATATTTAGGTAGAAAAATATTATTAGAGTCCAAAATAACTCTTAATGTTACATTGCTTGTGTAATAGGTAGAATCAATTCTCTGTTTTGATGGGAAATATTAGGAAAGAAGAACTCTAAAATTTTTATAATGGTACAGATTTCTTCATGCAATTTATTTCTTTTATAAGTATTTATTATTATGAATGATTGTCTTAAATGTGGTAAGGAAGAGTGGCATTAAGAAAGTGTCTGTTTTAGACACAGTCAATGAATCACATCTTCTAGCTGAGCAGAAGCTTCCCATGGCTGAAAAATTATAAACAAAATATATTACCCATTGTCCAGAGGCCAGTATCTTGCCAGCTTTCACAGCTTGATTTGAGAACTGATTAGATGAGGCACAATTGCAAGATAATAGGTGGATAATGATGAACTGGTAGGGTGTTTGAATCTCATCCAGAAGCTGTGTGCTGCAGAGTGACTGAATCAGTGGCCATCATACACTAGTATWTTCTTTGGTAAAAGTGTCAAGAAAACACTTTAAAAAAGGTGTGTTATAAAGARCAATGTGAAAGAAGACAAGGAAAACATTTTAAAGGCACATAAAGACAGCAAATTTTCAGCTGAAACCTGAAAAAAAACTTAAGTAGGTGATCAAGGCGAACATCATTTATGAGGCAAAGATGGTACTGTAAATCAACTGTGTAAGAAATACTAGGAGGCAAGACCCTCCTCTGATGGTGATCTGCATTAATAGATTTTCATGCCTTTAAACTTTTTCAGTGGAGGTGGAGGTAGCACCTTTTAATCTCATTGACACAATACTTGCATGAGTACCCCATGTACATGAAGCCCCCAGTGGGTTACAAGAGTAACCCATGGGATCTGAGATCAGGGTTGGGAAGCAAGAGGTTAATTACAAGTTGAACAGCAATGTTGCAGAAGAAAGGGCAGAATTCACCAAAACAAAAATTGGTGAAGTTGTTCTTAGCAGAGAACTTGAGGAGAGAATTGAAAAAAAAAACCTAAACAAACCAAACCTAAACAAACAAACCTAAATAAACCAAAACAAATACTGTTCTTGCTGCAATAAAATTCAAGCAGAGACAACACAAAGAACATGACAGCAAAAAGAACATATCAGTATAAAAAGAGTCAACTTTAAATTTGTGTTTTCTAGATGGAAAAGAACAAAAAGGAGATTACAAGGCAGTTTAGGAGTAAGAGCAGGAACTCATCACCAAAAAAAAAAAAAAAAAAAAAAAAAAAAAAAA